ATGCTTCTAGCTCTCCTTTCTGTTTGCGCAGTATTCCATAGTATGCAAAGTCTCCTTTTAATTACCCAAGACCTTGCTGGCTCCCAACACGGTGACTGCCAAACATTGCCAGAGCATCACTTCGCACATCCCTTTGTGGACCTGGGGAGAAATTTCTCTGGGGAACACACTTCAGTGCTCTCTGGGTCAGGGACCCTTCACCACTTACTTAAATATACTGCCAGCTTGCTTTTCAGGGTGCCATGGAGCAGTCGACACCAACAAAACACCTAAGCTACTGTCCCCCACCTCATTGTCAACACTTCAGAGGAGCATAGGGTAGTGGCTTTTGCTGTGCACCACTGGCATAGCTAATTTTTCTTTTGGATTTCCTTTTTCTTGTTGAAAATTTCAATTTTAGTCACTGCCCTCTTGGTCTGCCATCTGTTGAACAGAAATACTTACTTTTGACATAGTTAAACCCACCATTTCCCCCATGCCTTTAGTGCTTTGGAGGATTAAAAAGAGACTCACTTGCTGGATGTGGTGGCGCACGCCTATTATCCCAGTGGCTCAAGGGGCTGAGGCAGGAGGATTGCTAGTTCAAAGCCAGCCTCAGCAGAAATGAGGCCCTAAGCAACTCCATGAGGGCCTGTCTCTAAATAAAACACAAAATAGGGCTGGGGGTGTGGCTCTGTGTTGGAGCACCCCAGAGTTCAATCCCTGGTATCTCCCACCTCCAAAAAAAAAAAGAGTTGCTTTTTAAATTTTTTTAGTTGTAGATGGACACAATACCTTTATTTTGTTTATTTAATTTGTTTATATGGTGCTGGGGATCAAATCCAGTGCCTCACACATGCTAGGCAAGCGCTCCACCACTGAGCCACAAACCTGGCCCAAGAGACTCACTTTTTAAGGACGATTTAGAATGAAAAAATTCGCTAAAGCTACATGCAGAATAAGACAAATACAAAAGGATCATTTTCTCTGACTGGGCTTCAGAAAACATCAGTGTTCCTTTGCCCCACTATCACTCCCTCATTCTAGGCTTTCTGCCCTTTTCTTCAAGTCTGAATGAGTTAAGATAAAAGAAAACTGGACTTCAACCCAGTTCTCCCAAGGCTTTCTACACAGAGCTTGAGGACGCAGTGCTCCTTTAGCTTCTGGTGGGAGAGAATGTAATGGTTAATTGTCAACTTGATTGGATTAAGATATGCCAATGATTAAGAGGCTCCTGGGTGTGTCAATGAGGTTGTGTCTAGGAATGATTGGCATGTGGGATAGCCAACTGAAATGGAGACCCTCCCTAAGCGTGGGCAGCACCATCTGATAGGATGATGGCTTGGATGGAATAAAAACTAGAAGAAGAAGAAAACAGCAGAGATGCTAGCTGATTCTTCATGGATGGGTTCTTGATTGCTGCTGTGATCCTCTGAGGATACTGGACTCGCTTCTTCACTCTTCAGAAGCGGATCTCCAGAAATCTTCTGTCTGGGACTAGGATAGCACCGTTGTTCCCTCTAGTTCTGGGGCTTCAGCCTCTTGAACTACTCAGCTCCTGGTTCTTCCAGCTCTCCAGCCTACCAACCGCCATTGTGGACTATCCAGCTTCTGGTTGGGTAAGCCAATCTAATAAGTCCTCCTTTTATAATTCCTGTTGATTCTGTACCTCTAGAGAACCCTAAATCAGAAGTGAACCATGTCTGAGAGTGAGGGGCACCCCCCCTGCCCCCACCCCCACCCCCATCGCACTGCATGTGGTCTTAAAGCTGCACAAAACTGCAATCTGGAAGAACAACAAAGACTGAGAATAAAAGATACATATATAAAGATATATATAATATATGACCTTTGTTGTCGTTGGACGTTTATTTTATCTCTACCGCTGAGCTACAACTCCAGCCCCGAGAATAAAAGGGTTTTGAGAGACTTGCTGCACATATTCTAGAAGCCTAAAGAGATGTCTGGAAAAACAAATCATATTTTGCTAAGATTACAAATATTTAGGAAACATTATGTGCTACAAGGTATTTTCATCATTGGATTAGCTATAAATATAAAGAAAGTAAATGCAGGACCCTTGCATTGATTCACGTTCAAGGAAGTTCAGAGATAGGACAGATACATGGATGGACAAAAGGGTCAGAGAAAGTTGGAATTTAAAGATGTAAATTGAACGTTATACATATGTCTTAGTCTGTCTTATGTTGCTATAAAAGAATATCAGAGATGGGTCATTTATAAACAAGACAAGTTTATTTGGCCCATGGTTCTGGAGGCTGGGAAGTCCAAGATCAGAGGCCACATCTGGTGAGATCTTGCTGTTACAGTTTCATGGAGGGCATCACATGGAGGGAGAGCGTGTCCAAGAATGGCGAGGGGCCAGACACACCTTCATAACAGAGCGTCTCTCATCGTTTCCTCTCACGATGAGGAAACCACTCCTGAGATAACACTGACCTTGAGGTCAACTCATGACCTCATCGCCTCTCAAAGGTCTCACTCTCAACAGTGTTGCCCTGAGGACTTCATTTCTAACACATGGATGTTGGGAGACACATTCAATCCATAGCAGAATGGCCAGGAACTTCCAGAAAATTCTCCTGTGCTGCCATAACCAGAATAAAAGAACTTCACAAGCTAAGTAGAGTCCATTAAATGTTTAAGTGTCTCAGTCTTTTTGAACCTAAACTCTGGGATAACAAAGGTAGTCCAAGTGGAGATAAATCTTAAGAGGAGAAAAGTGCTAAGCTTGGTTCCTGGAGTTTAAGTCCTGGGTAACCACAGCCAAGAAGAGGATGATTCATCTTTTTGGAGTAGCTGGCTTTGAACTCTGAAGCAAAAATGGGTGAAAAGTGGAATTCACACTACCAATGATGAACCAGAGAACAGCAGGGGCAGCAGCCCGTGTACATACTTTATTGAAAGAATACAATGAAAGTCAGCCTCACGCTGGGAGTTAGAAAGGCAATCCTTGGTCCTCTGATGTCCTTGCCATAGGACATCCCTTCCCCTTTCTATCACACACGGGAATCCCACAACACAATGCCTACGACAGTCATTGATGATGAAGGAAAAGCCGCCTCTCCCTCCACTTGGGTGAGCGTGTGTATTTAGTCTCTGTGCCTGTCACCACGGTGTTCTGTGAAGAGCTTTCAGTACTTTTCTCTGGGCAGAAATCCTTTTTAAGGCCTGGTTTCTTGTTTGGGTCTCCTCCATGTGACATACGGTCAAGTGGCCATGACGTCTGGAGCCCAGATGTAATTCCCCTGCCAAACAGGATCAGGTGAAGGGCAAAGATCAAAGGCCAGAGAGCCCCCAGCCTGGGTCCCCTAGAGCAGGTCTCTGGGTCTTAATGGGCACAGTAACAGAAAGAGGCCGTGTGCAGGGGGAGGGGGGCTACTTAGTTAAAAACAGAGAAAATACATCAACAGATAAATTCTTCTTTGTTATGAGGAGGCAGACAGAAGCCTGAGGAGCTTGTAAGACTAAAAGGTATTATGTTTCCAGATCTGCTATGCTGTGCTTTGGGATTAGCAGGGCAGGCCTTTGTCTTTTGATGACCCTTGTAAAAGAAGACATTTTAACTCTGACAGAGCTGACATGGACTCCCAGGTCCCTGTGAAGGCCAAAACCCCTTCTGTGCAAACCATCTGCATTTCAGGATCTAAAATAAGCAAAACAAAACCAACCCCTCAGAAACAACAAAAAAGATCCACAGAGTGCATTCCAAACTCATAAAAAGACCAAAAAGACAGAAAATAAACAAAACCCCAGAACCATGCCTTTCTGATCTGTTAGCCTGGTCAGCTTTTGGATCCAGGTACTTCCCCTCTACCAAGTGGAATGAAAATTCAGACATCTTTAGCTGTCTTAGATATTTTAAGATATTTACTCTCAGGTGTGAAGTCCTACATGGATCATACTGTCTCAAAGTGACTTAAGCAAGTTCTATTTTAACATTGCTTTGTTCTTGCTGTCCATGGCTTGGGCACCCCACTTTTGTGCTAACTGCCCCGCATACTGCCTTTGCCTTTCCCTGGTTCCTTCCGAACACTATGGGGCTTGTGTGGTTCTTAACAGCTGGCCCCCTTGGCTTGCCATCTGTCTCTGTCTATTTTCAGGTATGGCTCAGGCCCACCTTCTTCCTCCAGGAAAACCTCTATTTATATGTTCTAAAAAGAGCTAAAAAAAAGCTTAGCTTCTAATTTGATCTTTTCTGTCAGTTATTAGTAATGTCAATAATGAGATTAATAATTTTCTGAAAATAAATCACAGATTTAAGTTTAGGTCTAATTGCAATGGTGTCGCCTAAAATGAGCATTTGTTGTTACTATCAGTAAGACTGTCAACCAAGAATATGATAACAACGAAAATTACATTTATCTGGGACTGTTTAGGATTGCAATCTGGGAGAACAGATTCAAGCATTCTTGAGAATGTGCTCTGAGGTTCTAGAAAACGAAGACTGCATTCAGAGCTTTTAGCCACCAGGGGGGCTGGAAATCACACCACTTGTTGATCAGAAACTTTAACTGGTGCTGGCAGAAGAAAAGCTGTTCTATACGAGAAAGGGGCTGGTTGCAATCTCAGTGTCTGGGTAGTGGGGGTAAGGAGTCCACCCTCCAGTCAGCAGAAGTTAACAACATTCCAGGAAACTGTGGTTTGGCCTAGTTAAAGGCTCAGCTGAGCTGTATCTGAGATCTGATGAATGATGGCCTCCTAACTCCATTTTAAGTGCCCCCAAACACTGTCACTCCATTTTGGCCTTTTTCCATGGTACAATACATAAACCTTGGTTAATTTTCTTTTTCCTGACTATACATATAGCTTTCAGGCACTTCAAGGTGAGGAGCTTATAAATGGCAGTTTCAGACTAGCAGGTACTGCTGGTGACTGGCTAGGTTTCGCCCAGGGTATCTTTCCTCAAGCATTGCTTGGTGATGGCTGCGGCTGCAGAGTCCTTGTGACCCTTACAGCTGTGCTTCCCGGCCCACATGCCCAAGATGAGACACAAAGAGTGTGTAGTCAGATTTAATTTATTTTACTGAAATTAGACTCAAATTTGACCAATCATTCTAACAAGTAAAAAGATTCAAATATCAGAGAGAAATCTGTTTCAATCACAAGAAGCAAGCACACACCTAGGGAATGCTGGTGAACCTTCATGTTATTGATTATCAGCACCCCTGTGTGCAAGTGCAACAAGGCGACCAAATGTAGAAGGTGATATGACACCACAACCCTGTCCTAGGACCCATTCTCACTCTGAATGGAAAACATCACTTAAACAAAAGACATTTAAAGAGGTTCTCCTAGTTCTTGTAATTCCTAACTGTAAAATATGATTTGGGTAAAAGAACAAAGAATTCTCCTTGTTTGGTCACATCATCCATTTTTGAAAGGGAAACTCAATATTATAAAAAACAAAACACTGAAATAAATAAATAATTTACTCAAAGGTAGTTTTGCTGCATTGCACATGACCACACACAATTCTAAAGCAGATTTTCTTTTAAAGCTTGGAAAACACATTTGCCTTTTTCAGTTTCTTGCGAAGTGATACATGCTCCTTATAAGGAAAACTATGTAGGCCTGAGTTTAAAATTTAAATATCTGCTCATCGAGCATTTGCTATGCTAGAGTGCAGAGGTGTGGATGACAGGGAGTGACCTCAGCCTTGAGGGTCATCAGGCAGAGCCCTGACAACACTGGCCTTAAGCCATGAGCAGCATCTTTGTCCCTTGCCCCTGGAGCTGGTAGGCACTGCCTAAAGCCAGCAGTTTCAGGGGGAGGGTGTGTGTGTGTGTGTGTGTGTGTAAAAACAATTGGTGCAAATTCAACTGTGTCTTTTCCTGTGATGTCCCTAAATGGACTGTGAAGCCTGTGAGAACATCTCCTGGAGGCATAGAAAGGAGAGCACATGACATGGCTAATGGGACATAAGCTTTTACTGGGGAGTCTTTCTACCAAGATTTAACACAGAAATTGTTTCTTGGACAAAGCTTTTAGCAAGTCCCAGTTCGATTTCTTTTGCTTTCCATTGCAAGTGTAGACTTGGCCGCTTTCCTTGCCAGCCCTCAACTGAGATGAACCCTCCTCTGCCTGAAGCAAGCTTCTCCTCTGCTGGCCTCGAATCCATCCCTGCATCACTTAGAGGAAGTATGTGGCCCTCTTCTCTTCCGTGGGACACATAGCTCTGAGACACTACCGAGGCTCTCTGGAATACAATTTGCTGTGATGCAGTTTTCTCAATATAACACCGAGCGCCCTTGAACAGCACTATTTTTAAAATTGGAGTTGGGGCAGATTTCCTCATTTGGTAGGACACTGATCTTGAAAATAATCTACAAGCAAAGATAGGAAGTTAACTTCTGGTGGATAAGCCAGTATTTTAAGGTTGAAACTTGGTCACTTCTTTTGCCCATCTTTTTTGTGTCCATGAATGCCTATTTCCTTTCTTGAATGAGACTGTTCTTGCAGGGCCACAGCTATAGTGTGTTGAAGGCTTAGTCTTGTCTCCACTTTGGCACTACTGGGAGGTAGTAGAACCTTTAAGAGGTGGGCCCAGGGGCAGGTTTCTGGGGGTGTGTCCTTGGGCCCTGGCCCCTCCTCTTCCTCTCTCTTAGCTCCAGGTTTAAAGCCAGCAGACGGATTTTGCTCCTCCATAATGTGCAATGTGCTGCTTCACACAGGGCCAAAGCAGCAAGATCAGCCCATCAGAGACTGAAAACTCAGAAACTGTGAACCAAAAAAAAAAGTCTGTTCTCTGTACAAGTTGATTCACTCAGGTATTTGTAGCAGTTACCACAAGGTAACATGGCCACCAAACTTTTCCCATAAAAGGCCATTTCGCAAATATTTTAGGCCACATATAGTCTCTACTACATATTTTTCAACTTTTTTTTTTTTTTTAAACTTCTTTAAAAACAGAAAAACCATTCTTAGCTCTAGGGTCTTTTGTATTGGCAAGTTTGCCCAGCTGCTCCAAGGAGCTGTGAGAGAAGCGTGCATGCTTATCAGGTACAAGGTAGCGTGGAATGCGGAACCCTAATCTGGGGACTTCTTTTGGAGAATGAGGTAGGTTCTTGCAACGGGATCTTTTGAAAAGGCTAAAATCAGAGCTCCTTTGTGTGTCTACTCTGCCCCCCAAATGCAGAGCTGGACTAAACTGACTTCCTCATTTAAAAGAGTGTTTGTTTGCTTATTTATTCATTTAGCGATCCTGGACTGAACCCAGGAGACAGTCCAGCATTTTTGTTTGTTTTTTTTCTGTAAGACAGTACTCATTAAGTTGCCCAGCCTTGCCTCACACTTGGAATCCTCCTGCCTCAGCCTCCTAAATTGCTGGAATTACAGGCTTCAAGAGTGTTTATTTAAGCGAGTAAGTTTTAATGATGAACTATTTAAATCTATTCCTGGGCTAGCTTCTCTTTGTCTTGATTTAAAGGTAAAACCACAAACTCTAAGCATTTATAGATTTTATTCTGCAGGGTAGGGCCCTGCTGTTCCAACTAGCTGGCAACAGAGAAGCTAAACTGTAACTGCACTTACTTTTCCTCAGTGACACCACCAGGGTCCACAAGGCTCTGAACTCAAGGCGAGGCACAGCTCAGTGTGCTCCTGGGGTATCAATGGCAGCTCAACTGCATTGGATTTAAGTGGCTGGCGGCCAGCACTTCAGATGCTATAACATCTGCCTTCTCTAACTCTCCACCAATAACTTTCTTCTTTGCTAGAATAGTCACTTTGAAGAGAATTAAAACATTCACATTTCTTTTACAAATCAATAATCTTTTAAGTCATCAATAGACATTATGTCTTATAATTAGTAATCAATCAAGATAAATTTCAACTCCTTTTTCTAGCTTAAACAGGGATTCAGAATTTGAATTGTTTTTCTAATCAATGGTTTTCTAATAAATAGCTAATGGGTTCTCAGAATACCAACTGCTGCCATCTACATTAATTTAACCGTTTTAGGGTCCAGAAATGTACAAACATGTACTCTCACAAAAGAACTTCTTAAAAAAACTGAGAATTTCCAAACTAAGAATAGGTGAAAGGCATATGCCAATCCAGTTGTCCTTTTTAGGTTTTTGCTTAAAGTATCAAATCTGCTTTCTTCAAATTGTAAATTTACTTCTTGTATTAAATTCACAGTTTTCCTTGGCCCGGATTTACTGTGGCATGCCAGCCACAGTTGCAGCTCTAAGCAGCCCTTGACATGGGGTCGCGTCTAGTCTCTAAACCTAAACCAGGAAAATGTACTTAAAAAAAAAAAAACTTTTGCATTTAAAAAAAAAATTTCTTAGTAAATAAAACTGCTAAGACAACTTTTAACAGGGGGCGGGGAGTAGGGAGCGGGAGGGGACGCTATACTAACTTGAAATTGGAAAAAACTGCATAATTCAACAAGCACAAATGAACTTCTAAGAAATGCTGAAGCACTAGAAGTACACGCCTGCTCTAGTTCTCATGAAGTTTAATTAAAATGAGGGAAATTTTATGAATTCTCCAATTCTTTCAAAAACAAAGTGTTCTAAGGATGCTGAAAGATGGGATAACGCATGCAGTTACCTGCAGTTAGGAAAGGAAACAGCAAGGAGCACTTCCTAGATCAAATGATGCAAAGCAGCCAGTGCAGGGCGCCTGTCCTCTCTCTGGGTCCTCAGCATTTTTCACACGCTCTGGTCAACAGTTCACATCTTTCACCATCAGTTTTAAAAATAGTTTCCTCCTGGTGCTTTTTTTAAAAGATCTATTTTGGACATACTGATTTTGAATTTTTAAATCTGCAAAGAAAATACACAGGGGCAGACCTGCACAATGAATAAAAAATAAATATCACCCTCTTTAGGTTGGAGCTTTCAAAAAAGACAGAGGGTTATAATTTGCCTTCTGGGTTCCGTACAAGTGTCAATCTTCAGTCCTATCTCCACTGACTGACAGAAAGCATCTTTCCTACCTGCCTCCAAAATCAAAGTGCATTTGTTGAAAATTTACCTTACCTTAAAGAAAAACCCACAAATCTTATTAATTTTTGGCAGACACCTTATGCAGCAAAAATCAGGTGAGTTTCCCTTTTTTCTACTCCTCAGTTAAAGCTGTATTCAAAACGGCTAAAGGCAGTACTTTCTAGACAGCAGGGCTGACATACAATGGATTTTGTTTAAAAGAACAAAAAGGGAAAGGAAAAATAAAACCATCTGAGAACACAAAGGAGAAACCCTGAGGCAAAAATGGCTTTTCCTATAAAAGTCTTGCCACAGCTGTGCCTGCGTTCACAGGGTGCCGGCCACCTTCTGGGAGGGCAGGCCTTCCTCCATCCAGAGTGTTGCGGCTGAGCTGTGGCGGGGTGAGCGTCGGTGGATGCGTCGCAGCCTTAGCAGGTAGAGGAGGATGGACAGCAGGACCACCAGGAAGCAGCCAGAGAACAGGTAGTGGTTGTAGACAAAGGAAACGCCCCGCCAGTGCGCATGACTGGCCCGGAAAACATCCTGCTGGATATCTCTGCCCAACGGAGGAAACACAACAGAAACAGGGTAAGAGGGGCTGGGTGGAAACCATGCTTGCAGGAACTCAGCCGCAGGGCCTGGCATGGGCCTGACCCTAGACACAGCTGAGAGCTGGCCACTGAGGCTCAGTTTCCCCACCTCTGAGATGGAAGAGAGTAAGGCTGCACTAGGGTACTTGGAAGTCTGTGGTAACAGGTGAAGGAATGCTCTGAGTCCCTACCAATTACCAGCATTATAAACTGGGTAGCAAAAATCAGAACTATGAGGGTTTCACTAACACAATGAAGTCAACACAATGTGAAACCACACAGTAACCCTATTCTAAACAATTTTTGCAGTTGATTCAACTAAAAGTACTATTAGAAGATGCTCAATTAAATGGGATAAAGATTTGATAACTCATTTATAGGTTAACCAGAGGTTTTGGCTCTGGTACAAGGGATTGAACTGTGCATCTTAGGCAAGCACTCTGCCACAGACCACATGCCCAGGAAACAGGGTCCTTAACATGGGGTCGCATCTAGTCTCTAAACCTGAACCAGGAAAATATACTTAAAAAAAAAAAAAAAAACTTGTGCATTTAAAAAAAATTTTTTTATTTGTCAATGGACTTCATTTTATTTATTTATTTGTGGTGCTGAGAATCAAACCCAGTGCCTCACACATACTAGGCAAGTGCTCTACCACTGAGCTACAACTCCAGCCCCCAAAATGTACATCTTTATTTCAGCAATCTCAGACTGAAGTTTAATATTTAATATTTTCCTTTAATCATGAATGTAGACAACAAATTATTGTAATATTAGCAGCACCTATGATTTGGTTACTAATGAAATATTTCATTATTGTAATTGATGCCTCAAAGTACCATGGATGCTCATAATTACACTGAAATTATAGAAATAACTAGTTCTAGGGCCAGATCTTGATATTTAATGTGCTAATAAAGAACACATACCACTTTATGACAAGTTTGTTTTCTGTAATCGTTGGATAAATGCATTTTGATGTAATGGTCTCCTGTACAACCCTCTGAACCCCTGGATCAACCCTTCTGTAGAGGTTAGAGGACAGCTGAGAATAATCAAACACGGGCAACAGCACAAAGTGCTGTGTATTGTGGGGTGAGCAGGGTGGGAAGGGAGCAAGGCCTTGTGAGGAGGGGAGGAGACCAAAGTGAAGTGTCAAAGACTCTTAGTTCTGCCCTGGGCACCTCTGAGAGAAACACACTGACATCTACAAAACACAGGTGCCAGGGGCCCTGAACTGGAGAGAAGCATCTTTTGTGGTCCTCCTTACCAAACCTGTTGCCTACCTCAATGGTAAGAAGCGGGTCCTGTAAAGGATGGCCCCCAGGGTCCACTGCACTTCTTTGTCATACACCTGCAAGGCCGTCTTCAGGTTTTTATAGCCAACAGGAAACGAGAAGCCCTCGTGGAACACATCAAACATCCAGGCTGATTTGAAGCACTGATACCTACAAACACCAGGCACAGGAGTCAGACCCACTCACATGTCAGAATGGGCCCAGCACAGAGATGAACGGGCTTTAGCAGGCAAGCCCTCTGAGCGGTCAAATCAGCTGCATATTTCCAGCCGATTACCTGGCTCTTGCCCGCTCCCCACAACATGAATAAGTTCACCTGCCAAAATTGATTAGCTTGTGAAGTTTCGTTTTGGTATAGCTGAATCCACTAACATGACAAATTTTTCCCATTAGGGATTCCAATATTTACTGAAAAAACATTGAGTAAGTTCTAACTCTTTGGACCTCAGCTTATTTCAAAATGAGAAGATGGAAGACACGAGTGGCGTGAATATACTTTACATACAACCAGAGATATGAAACATAGCTGTGCTCTATATGTGTAATATGAACTGTAATGCATTCTGCTGTCATATATAACAAATTAGAATTTAAAAAAAAAAACAAACAAAAAAATGAGAAGGCGGGAAGGTCCTTCTCTGCTCTGATAGTCTGTGATCCTAAATGTTTACTAGCAGCTTATTTTTTGCAAAGCACTGTGCTACGCAAGTAATAAGATGTAATGGTAAATGAGGCACAATTGCTCCATTTGAGTGGCTTATAATGAAAGGGAAGTTTAAAAAGGCAACAAACAACTACAAACCAAAGCAGAATAGGATCCATGCTTTAGAGGGGTATGATGAGTGTCGTGGAGACTCAAGAGCGGTGGAGTCAGGGTGAGTGGACAGAGGAAGCCTGGAAAGGGACAGCATTTGACATAACTCTAACAAACAGGGAGATTTCAAAATTGCCCCCCCCCCCAATATATATATATGTGTGTGTGTGTGTGTGTGTGTGTGTGTGTATGAATGTATGTTACGTCTGATATGTCCAGGAACAAATGTTTGTCCCATATGGAAGAGTCAAGGGTAGATGAAAAAGGCATAGTGATTGCGGAGAATAAGGATATATACTGGGCCAACACTGAACTACTACTGGTCCTTAAAAGCACCTGCAGCTTGACTGTCTACTACTTACTTAAGCCGATGGAGGTCAGCATGCGAGGCATAGAGTCCACGGTCAAAGCGATCCCTTAAGATTGACCACTTTGTTGCACAATAGTCCTAAAAGCAATTTCACCCAAAACAAATCATCAGGAAAGACTTATTAAAACATTTTTAATTTAAAAACAATATCAAACTCATCTGCATAACAAGCAGATCCTTCCAACCAAGAAACATGGCATCAGTGCAGTGAGGGCCAGATATGCAGCGTGCTGGCTGGTTAGCAATGCCATGGTCATTCTACCCCACCACTCTGCCTGGAATCCCTAGAGAAGCCCGCCACCTACGGGAAGCCACCTGTGAAACACATGAGGACCCTCTCTCAGCATGGGAGCCAGGGGCGGATAGGCCCGGCACTGGGAATCTTCTGTGTCTCTCCCACACAATGGGTTGCCCAATGCACGTGGTCTTTCCGTCTGTTCTGCTAGAAAGGTCCCTCACGGTAGTACGGAGATGGCGTATCCTGCTAGGAACTGAACAGCCCACCTTAATCCTATTTTGGTGATGAACATTCTATGGAAGGCCTTTGATGTTTCCCGATATAAATAAAGCAGGTGTGGGTTCCATTTTTGCCAGAAGCTGGATTCCTCTGATCAGCTTGCCTGTCCTGCCTCTGCTTTTGAAATTACTTTCTGTGTTCTGTGGGTTTTTCAGGCTATTTTATTTCTCTTGGCTTTTATTTCTCAGCCAGCCCATTCCACCAAGGGGAACCCTGTTTCCCCCTGCACAGGATGTGGGAAACAAGCTCCTTAAAACTATCTAGTTTCCCTCCATGCCTGTCACAGACAAATGCTTCAACAAAGAGAAGGGTCATTCCTGCCTATCACATACCCAGAGTTCCATGTCTGAGGCAGGCTCAGTGGAAGGTACTGAGGAGATGACAGTGACTGCAAAAGCAAAGAGGGACTTGGTTTTCCCGAAGTTACCCAGAGTGAAATGAATCACTGTTTACTGAGCAGCATGTGCTGCTTCTGAATGGAAGACCTGAGCCCTCCACATGGCTTCTCTCCTAGCCTCTATTTATAGCACAATGAAGCTGCGGACAGGGTGGTGGGACAAGCAGCAAGAGAGAGTGCACTCAGCCTGGGGCAAGAGAGTCATGAAGAAATGCCAGGAACCAAGCCTATGAAAGGGGGAAAGCCCAGCAACAAAAAACGAACAAGAGATAAGTCCATACTCCTACGCTGGGGACGAACGGCCCATTGGTTATATCATCAACCATGGTGGCACAACAGGGACAGATGGGGAGAAACAGTGGGTTTGTCTGGAGTTGTGAAATCTAGTAGGCAACAGCGCACAAGTCAGGATTGCAGACTTTTCTTGAGGTGTACCAGAAAACCATCCATGAACTAGGTCAGTGGGCCATGAGTAGAAGTCTAGGGTCACCAAGGCTCAAGGGGTGTTAAGGGGAAACTTCTGAAAGAGCCTGAGGAAACAATGTCAGAAAGGAAGGGAGCGTGAAAAGACAGGAGTGTTCTGGTGGCTAAAGGCATGGGAAGAACGGCAGGAGGACTGTCAGATGTGACAAAGAAGAAAAATAACAGTACACTGGAAGTTCCCAATGACCAGTGCAGTTACTGAAGTGCAGGACAGAAGTCAGTTCTGGTGGATTATTTGCTGCTGCTACTTCTTTTTTTAATATTTATTTTTTAATTGTAGTTGGACACATACCTTTATTTTATTTATTTATTTTTATGTGGTGCTGAGGATCAAACCTGGGGCCTTATACATGCTAGGCGAGCGCTCTACTGCTGAGCCAGCCCCAGCCTGATTCTTTACTTCTTCTGTGACTATTTTCATCTCTTCCAACCCATGGGAACAGGATTCCCTAATGCTGGACCACAACCTCCCATACTCCAGCTTCCCCTCTAAGGGTGAGGGAGACGTGACCTGTTCCTATCCACTCTGGTCTCTCAAAAGCATGCAGGAGCACAGGGTTTCTTGGAAGGTTTACCTTTGCAGCTTTAGTGAATTTAGCAGCATTGTAGTCTCCACCCATCCGTAACACATCTTCAGTACAATAGTAGAATTCAGAAAAGCCATAGAATTCACTGTTCTGGAAGTGAATAGGGGGCTGGTAGACCCCATTGAGGGAAGTCTGCGTCTCATTGGTTTTGTTCATGAAAGGCTGGAGCATCTCTCGACACAGGTCAAAGTCCCCTGTTCCCCGCAGGTACATCGTCTGCCCATTTTGCTGGATTTCATCTTTAATGTCAAGGGGTAAGCAGGGGTCCAGATATGGAGCATCAGGAGTCAGACCAGTCTGTTTACCCAGAAGCCTATGGCACAAAGAGCAATTCTATCATGAGACCTATGCTGTACCACATTTTGGAGAAGTGGTTGCAAAGCAGTGTTTATCCAAACACACTCTGTGGGACACAGGTCCTGTAAGACTGTGTGTATGCAAATAACAAAGGGTCTAAGATAACTAAGCTAGGAAAACTGGCACCCAACCTCCTTTTGGAGACTCACAGTGCAGAGTCACATGCAGCAGACAAAACCAAGTCCAGATAAAAAAAAACTTGTCTGATTACCTGACATTTTCGATTCCCTGCAACACAGCCTGATGCTACTGGCCACAGAGTGCCCAGTGACCATGTTGTTTCCTATCCCCATTTTGTCAACAGTGCTTTTATTTTAACTGTATAAAGCTGAGAGATAACTGTGAAAAGAATAATTGGTTCTGGAAAATCAACTAAATACTTTAGAACAATATGAAAGGTACAAGTTGCTAGAAAACTTTTTAAACCCTAGTGGGAAAGATAAAAAATAATTAGGAAAAAAGTAGTAAATTCTAGGATTGCTTCACGAATGTTATTAAGTCTGGATATTCTTTAAAGAAAGCCAAAATGATATCTCAATGAGGGTGAATTAGAAGACAGCTTAATTCAGAAAAAAGAACAGCTGATAATTAAGTGAAAAAAAAAGTTTAAGATTTGCATCTATTTTTATGGTATTCTGTTTCAATTTTTTTTTTTTTTTTGGTACCAGCGATTGAACCCAGTGGCGCTTAACCACTAAGCCACATCCCCAGCCCTATGTTGTATTTTATTTAGAGACAGGCTCTCACTGAATTGATGAGTGCCTTGCTTTTGCTGAGGCTGGCTTTGGACTCACGATCCTCCTGCCTTAGCTTCCTGAGTTGCTGGGATTACAGATGTGCACCACCACACCAGGCCCTGTTTCAACTGATTTTTAAAAATTATTTTTATCAATTATTGGTCCCAACTGCAGCAGGTAGCAGGGATTCTGCTGTGCCCCATGCTCTGGGGGAAAGTTGACCTATTTATTGAAATGCACCAGGCTTGCCACTTCCTGTGAGATTTCTGGGAACTCGTGCCTTCAAGCAAATGAGGGATAGAAAAAAGCTCAAAAAACAGAAGTGATGTTGGTGTTGGGCACCACGAACTCATGTGAGTGTGACAGGTATTCAGCTGTTAGAAGTTAGATATTCCAGAACTCAATATTCACCACTGACAGTCAACTAACAAGTATATTTTTCAGATCAGGACTACTCATGATGTGCTTGATTGCAATCAAATTAAATTAAAGAAAAATCAAAATTGATCACCACCTGTTATAGTGGTATGGCCCTCAAGGTTCTTGTGCAGATGGTCATGCTATTATAACAGCATTGTTCAGTGGAGGGGCCTTTGGGAAGGTGACTGGATCACGAGGGCTCTGACCTCTTCAGTGTATTGCTCTACTCATGGATTAATAATTTGATAGCATTACTGGGAGACAGTGAAAACCACAGAGGGTGGGACCTAACTGGAGGAAGTAGGTCACTGGGAACATGCCCTGGAATGATGTATCTTGTCCCCAGCCCCTTCCTCTTGTTCTCCCTGCTTCCTTGCTGCTAAGAAGCAAATAGCTCTGCTCCACACCTCTCCATCATGATGTTCTGCCTCTTCACAGGCCCACAGCAAGGGAGACAGCTGACCACAGATGGAAATCTGAGTGTATGAGCCCAAATAAATCTTTCTTACCCAAAGTTGTTTTTCTCAGGTATTTTGTTGCAATGACAAAAGGCTGACTACAATACCATCATAAATGGCAAAGAGTATGCTTCAAGGCTCAAATCTTCACACGTGAAACACTTGTAATTATTATTAAAAGCCCAAGATAGTCAAATGTATACCTCATGTTACTATTTTAGTTGTCCTACATCTAAACTAAAAAATGCTGCTGAACTGTTCATTAAACAACAACAAAAAATTTTAAACTGGTAATAAAGCCAAGGAAACCCTAATCTTTTAAGAAGCTGCTCAATAAATCTGCAAAAATGATTTCAATATTCTTAAAATATTTTATAAATTATATCACAAAGATGACTGTACCTAAATATGCTGGATACCCATTTAAAAAAAGTGGGACTTCCAATGCTATAATTAACAGAATTCAGTTAGCTTTTAAGAAGCTGCTCAATAAATCTGCAAAAATGATTTCAATATAATTTATAAAATATTTATATTTTAAGAATATCACAAAGATGACTGTACCTAAATATGCTGGATACCCATTTAAAAAAAAAAAAAAAAAAAACCATGGGACTTCCAATGCTTTAATTAACAGAATTCAGTTAGCTTTGGAAATAAACACAGGACATGGTTTTTATTGCTTTTCCTATTTAAATACTTGAGTTTCTGGCAAATGTGTCTAGCTCCAGCTAGGTATTTATTGAAGTTCAGGCCTTCACATATTTATTAAGATCAAATTGGTCAAGAAAGTATACTAGTGCTTAGCCATGTGAATTTGAAAAATTTCCCCTTAAAATTGTTCATCAAAATAAGCCAAGAAAAACAAGGCACAGTTATCAATAGGGTATCTAACATAACCCTAAATGTAATTTTTTAATTCATTCAATTAACTTCTGTTATTATGGATGAATTTCAAATACATAATTGCTATATACTTAAACTTACAAAATAAGTTTAAACCAACAGAGTATGCCTTGTTTCATATCTTTTCAATATCAGAATCTTACGTAAACTCATTTTTTAAAGTTTCATTGCTAAATATTTTTTAAAACCATCGACATTGGTATCACTCCTGTCTTGAGTAACTCCTTTCACTATGGCTCTCATCTACTGGATAGCTACCCAGGTTGGTATGTGTAGGTTCCAGAACTCATAAGTACCAGCCTTCTCAAGGTCAGGAGCAGACAGTAGCTGCAAGCCTCCAGGACAGCACCAGTGCTGTCATCAGGAACGGCACTCCCCAGGGCTCAACACTATTATACAGCCTCATGGTGAAACCTCCCTAAGTGAGGCGCAGGTGTTTAGAGGGAGAGACAGTACACACATGTACCTCCTTGGAGGCTGGTGGGCCAGAGGGCTGGTGGCAGGACCATGACACCCTTTCTCATTCCTTCTCCCAGCTCACTGGGAGCTGAAACAAAGCTACCAGGACTGAGCAACTTTGCAGATGGAACTCTCCCTGCTTGGCCTGGACCTGTTTTTGATGTAAGACCCAGGTGTACAAGTAACTACCGAGTAGTGGGAGGTGCTTTACCTGTTCTTTTGAACTGTGTTGGCAAATATTCTGTCTTCATATCTCTGTCGAGCAGCATTGCCACCAAAACCAAGAAATGTGGCCACATAGACACGATACACATGCTCAGTATGGTGAACGTCACATCCCAAGTTAAACTCAGCTAACAAGTTTTTAGCTACTTCCTCCTGCAGACACAGGATAATGAACTTTAATATTTTAAAGCAATTTTAACTTCTCTTAAAAAGAGGATCTAAATAGAGTCTTGAAAGGATCTAAGAGTAGCAAACTTCTGCTTCAACATTTCCCAATGATCCTCGTAAGCATCCTTCATAATTCAAAATGATGATTCTGACTTAGGAAATTTCAGGTGTTTTGTACACTTGTGGTATTGTTATGACTCTCTGAAAAAGGAAATTAGAGATACAGTTCATACTCTGACCTAGTAAATCTATGGAAATAAATCTAAAAACAAAAAAGGCTATACACAGAGATGGCCTTTACAATTCTATGAGACAAAAAAACTGGAAGTCATCTTAATATACAATCTCAAGGGAAGCTTAAGTTAATTACAGTAATCAATAACAGAGGAACATGCTATACATTGCTAAATAAGAGACACAAAATTATATAAACAGCAGTGTTAGGGCAAATGTATTTTTTAAAACTATAAATAGTAAAAAAAGAGAAATTCACCAAAATACTAATAATGGTTTTTTTAAATGATGAGTTCATAGAATTTTCATTTCTAATTTTCACCAAACTTCCTTTATAGTATTTGTTGCTTTATATTGTGGGGACATGATTTTTTTATGGAACATAATGATTTCTAAAGACACATTTGGAATGGGAAGTAGGAAACAAAGACACCAAAAACATTGATTAAGCACATACTTGGTGCTGGGAAGTGCATTACACATTCTGTGCATTATTTTAACTTTACATTAACCCCATCCTATAGGGGCTTTTATCACATTAAGAGAAGAACAAACTGGCTCAAAGAAGCAGTGTGACTTGCACAAGGTCACACAACTGGTGAGGAACAGGAAGATGACGCCATGAGGCCTGTCTACCCACCCCACTTCTGGGGGATAGAGCAGGACACCAGGCTTTGGTGCTACTTCCCAGCTGGGCACACACCGCGCGATAGAGACACATAGTAATTCAAGAAAACACGTGGAAATGGCCCTGGTGTTCCTTGTACACAGCTGCCTGGCCTGCGGAAGACCATAGGCTGTGACGGAGAATGCTCAAGGGTGTGGAGAAAAGACAAGCAAACCACCAATTCAGAGATGTGGGGTAGTGGATAACAACCTCGATTCTTTCCAGAAAAGTTCAAAGTATTGAGCCATTAAAAAGAAAGGATCTTCCCCAATTATGACTTAAAAAATCAGAAGCTATTGTATTAAATTTTAAATACCTTGAGAAAAGAAGTGACTGAAGTGAAAACATAAAACAAAAACTCAAGCATGCTAGTGACATATACCAAAGAAAAGTCTAAGTTCAAAAAACAAACCAGCTGGTCTCAAGGCACAAACGCTAGCGGCTGGCTGAGGCCCGCCTCCTTCCTGCAGCCTCTTTCCTCCTGGGATGAGAAGGTGGGCCCACAGCAAGCACAGTAAAGATGTGTTCAGACTCAGGAAACAAAACAAAAATGGATGGAGACATGTTAAATGAAAACCAAACCAAACAGAAGGCAATTTGTACAGATAGTAACCTGCTGTGAGGAGGCAAAGCTTACAGTTTCGGGGACTTCGTATGCTATCTGGGTCGACACGCCTCCCATGTCGAGAATGCCCGCTGTTCTTTTCCGGATGATGGCCTGGCTGTTCTCACTACCAGGAATGCTCACCTCCACAAGTGCCTCATCATCTAGAAAGAACAGGAAATGTCCACCGGAGCAGAACGAACCCAGAACACTGTGATCTCATGGGGCATCGCCTGTGTTCTTGGAAGGTTTCAAGTGCTCAGGCAAATCCAGGCTAGCCTCCCAGTGGTAGGCGAGCTTAGTCAACTGAGTTGGACGGAGCCTTCTGGCTCTGCCCCCACACTCAGCACCGTCTTGAGACTTAGCTCCTCTTAAGCCTTTGGATTACACAGAAAACTTTAATTTCCAGTTAGACTCATTCATTGGAAACATGACACTTACCTTCTTCAATATGCTCAAATCGTCCAAGGACAAAATTAATGCCAATCCATGCATACACACCTACAGACATTTCACAAAATAAAAATAGGCAAAATTAAGCTTTTAAACACTTTTAAACACTTATCAGCACAGCCTGCACAAATATCTCATTTATTTTAATCCTCAACAACTTGTAAAAATATCACCTAACACATTTCTTTTATCTTTTCTTAGTGACTGTTTTCAAGGACTCTCAATTTTAATATTTATAATTTTATGTCATTTACATAAGTTGAAAATATAATTTCTCAGGTCCAAGTTTTCCTTTGAAATTAATGGTTTGTTTAAAAATACTGGAGCTTGGGCTGGGTTTATGGCTCAAGTGGTAGCGCGCTCGCCTGGCATGCGTGTGGCCCGGGTTCGATCCTCAGCACCACATACAAACAAAGATGCTGTGTCCGCCGATAACTAAAAAATAAATGTTAAAAAATTCTCTCTCTCTCTTTTTTAAAAAAAATAAAAATACTGGAGCTTTCACTTGTTATAAAAGTTTTACTGGGGCCTGGGGTTGTGGCTCAGTGGTAGAGCGCTCCCCTAGCATGCACGAGGCATTGGGTTCAGTCCTCTGCACCACATAAATGTAAAATAAGATATTGTGTCCACCTAAAACTAAAAAAATAAAATATTAAAAAATTTTTCTTTTGTAGGAAGTTCAATCTATAAATTCAAAGGTCTTAAAAATTTGAGTTATCTTTTACTTCGACTCACGTTCACTTAGTTGCCAAGTCTGATTCTATTTTTGTGACACTTCCTACACACAATTTTTGTCCTTTTTTCACTCTCACCTTGATTTATGTCATTACAGAGAGAGGAGGTGACAATCTATGAGCTCTATCATCCTGCCTCCACCTTGCATGGCAACCCCTCTACCCTCTGCTGTTGGGCTGACACACAGAACAAAGCCCAGACTCAGGGCTCAAACTAAACCATGCTTACTTAAATAGCTGTCCAGGGCCACCCTTTCCAACAACAACTAACTCAGATCATTTCTTCTACTTGGAATGAACTCCCTACCCCTTCTGCAGAGCCCTACCCTCCTACTGCTCTGGCATGTTCAATTTAGAAATACCCGTTGAACAGTTCTGAGATCAATTACTCCCTGATGGTCCTGGCTGGAAAAGAAAAAATACCTCTTGACTCATGTGATACTTTTTATCTTCCTTTTGGCACTTAAAATAACCTCCTAGTTCTGTGTACCTCACTTGTCTGTATGCAGCTCAATGGCAGCTCCCCCAATTCTGTATTTTCTATAGTGCTTTTCACATAAGTAGTACTTGTTGAAATGACAGATGATTCTGAAATAAATACTGACTTTTGAGTCTTCATTTCTAGCAAGCTATTTCCCAAATATCACTGACTTGTCATTTCATTCTAAAGTAGAATAATTTCTTTCAAAATAGAACTATCATTTTCTCAGTGTATCAAGTCAAGAACTTCCCCTTGCTAGCACGTAAGTGAGAAGATTCCAAAAGTTCAACAATCACTATAATTCAGAAAGCCACATAAGTCAGATAAGGAATACAAATTTTCCCTATCACAGTGAGTTCTAAGTATGTTCCTTAAATGTGGTGAAGGCAAACTGGCTTAATGCTTTAGTAATAAAGAACAGGCATATAATAAGCTAATTTAGTCATTTAAGAATATTTCAGGTCTGTGATTTCCCAAATTTGAAGATATTGCAAAATTTAATAAAGTATATACAGGAGAAAATGGGGAGAATTGAAAGAAAAAGCGTCCCAGGTTGTAAGCTGAAGGCCAATATACCAACCTTCTTGTTTCCCTGAAATGACTTCAGCATGAGAGTCAGAAAAGAGGAAGTCAAAGTGCACTGGGATGTCGGTCAGGAGGTCCTCCAGAATGGCTTTTTGCTGGCTGTAAGGCAACCCCAAAATTTACACATCAAAATAGTATAACCTCAGTTTTTCTATTTTGGAAAAAACAAACCAAAAAAACAAAAAGTCCCATGGCTTTGATATATCCTACACAACAGTGAATTTTAAAACCAAAGCAATTCATTGAAAAGATTATTTGGGCTGGGGATATAGCTCAGTTGGTGGAGTGCTTGCCTTGCATGCACAAGGTCCTGGGTTCAATCCCCAGCACCAGAAAAAAAAAAAAAAAAAAAAATATTTTTTATAGAAGAAATAACTTTTCAAAATGAACAAGTTGCATGGATTATGTGATTCCTACAGTGAAAAATAACTGCAACTGTGGGGCATGGTGGTTGCACGCCGGTAATCCCGGCAGCTCAGGAGGCTGAGGCAGGAGGATCATAAGTTCAAAGCCAGCTTAGCAACAGTGAGACACTAAGCAGCTCAGTGAGACCCTGTCTCTAAATAAAATACAAAATAGAGCTGGGGATGTGGCGCAGTGGTTGAGTGCCCCTGAGTTCAATCCCTCCTCCCGCCACCAAAAAAAGAAAAATAACTGCAACCATTCCTTAAATAATAGATTTTTTAAATGATGTCATTCTAAAATGATAACTGTTTAATTTATTGTCATAAATAAGTAAATTAAAAGCTATTTGGTGGGTCCTGGGACTAGTCTGGATTTGAAGAAAGAATGACGAATGTCTTGCTTTTGATGGTGATGGGGCAGCAGTGGAGGAGTGGGGGCTGCCTGGTCCTCTGGTGCAGGCTCACCTTTCAGGAAGGACTCTCATCCCAGCAGTGCAGAGAATGTAGAGTGGTGTCTCTTTGTGCTTTTCCCTTGGCACATGCTCTGCAGCAAACTTCAGAAGCGGTGAAATGTAATCGCTGACTTTCTCTGGAGAGGTACCGAACTCTGAGATGCCTTGGGAAACAGGACACTCCAGTTAGCGGTGAGCATCTTAGTAAAACAAGCTTCAGTGCGGCGAAGGTGGAGAAGGTCAAGCTACATCTACACTCTCCCGGGGCCCTACCCCTTTCTTCCTGGCTGCCATGGCAATATCCATTCGGTCCTATTCCCTCTTCTCCATTGTCAACGAGCACAGACCTGACTGAGCATGTACTAAGTGGCCCAGGCAAGAGCTCATCCCCTTTCCTCAGGCAAGCTTGCCACTCCCAGGGCTGCTAGCACCATCAATGTGCCACCGGTCTCCAAATCTTGTCCCCAGTCCTGAGAGCTCTTTCCCATCCTTCTGGTCAGTATGAACGAACTGTGCACTGCCCGTCATGGCTGCTCATCCTCTTGGCCACCCAAAGGCAACACATCCAATCCAAACTCAAATTCCACTGTGAACATGCCTGTGCCACTGTGTCCCCCCTCAGAACTCAAGCCAGGATCTTGGAGAAAATCCTTCTCCAGCCCCCAGCCAGCACAATGGTTTTCACAGACACCTCCCCTCAATTCCTCTCGTTTTACTTCACTTCTCCTGGTCTCTTTTGACACTACTACCTCCTGTGCTCTGGTGCAACACACCCACGATCCAGTCTCCACCGCCCCCCAGCATTCCCTGCTGGAGGGATGCTTCCTCCTGGTTTCAAAGCCTCTGTGGTTCCATTTCCTCCACACAGCTCAACTCTAGAGAAGCACACTACCCCTAGAATGCTCACCCATCCTCACCTCTGCCCAAGTTCCTTCCCTTTGCCTTCAGCTACACTGAGTTAACGTTCTGTAACATGCCACACTCTGGCCTTAGGCCTCTGCATTTCAGCCAGAAGAGTCTTCCCTCTCCCTGCCCTCTCACCCGGCTAACTCCTGCTTGTCTACTCAGCTCCTTTCTCCTCAGAAGTCTTGCCCACAGAACCTCAACAGAGACAAGCTCTCATTACATCTCCAGTTCACCAGTACTGCTAGTCATACACTCACTGCACCATATAGAAATTACCTACTTACTTGCCTGTCCCATTACAACTGTAAGTTTCTCAAAGGCACACGTCTGGTTCAAATTTATATTCTCAGCACCTAATGCAGAGCCTGGTAATATTCAAAATGAGGGAGACTTTAGAAGTCCAAAGATTGCTTGTTTCACAGACTAAGAAATTGTGGACTAAGAAAGATGAAGTGACTTATCAAAGGCATCAGGAGAAAATGGACTAACAGACAAGTCTTTTGACTGTACATGGACTACTACTTCAATGGACATCAAGCCCCAAACTAGCTAGGATCTATTAAGAAAATTTCTAGAATCTTGCTGTATCCTTACTGTATCTGGGAGTCCATGCGTCAAGGCGAGAAGTGCTCTAGAAAGGCATTCTGATTTACACCTGCAGTACTTTGCATAGAGTGAGAGAAAACCACAGTAAGCTTCATTTAAATAAGAGTCCAGGGTACACCCTGGGATGATGCAGCTGTCCCTTTATTTAGAAAAGCATGAAAGTTTTTATCTTATTCCACAAGAAGTGATGAATCACTAATGGGACCTGGTATACAAAGCTAGATAAAACGTACAGTGCTTTATCCAGTTCCACGTTTTAGTCTTCTGCTTAATTTTTTATTTGATCAATATTACTTTAGCCCTGAAAATGTTTCTAGATTAGAGACAGATAAAAATTTAAGGGGAAGGAAAATAGAAAACTAAAATCTGAGTCATTCACCAAGTTATAAGGAAAAATTAATCTTCACTCATAGAAATATACTGATATTACTTATATTTCTGGAATGGTGATAAGAAGCTATGGTTTTTATTTATCAATATTCTTTTTTTTTAAAGTTTTTTACTTGATATGTAATAAACCTTCATTTTATGGGGTATAGTGTAATCATTTGATATGTATACATATGTGTAATGATCAAATCAGGGTAATTAGTATTTCCATCTTAAACATTTATCATTTCTTTCTGTTTCTCTAATATTTTAAAGATAAGTTCCTTGGCTAGTTTGGATTTAATATTTTGCCATTTAATACATTGATAAGAAGAAATAAAAGCCACTGTATCTCTCTCTTTTTTAATTTTTTTAGTTGTAGGTGGACACAATATCTTTATTTTATTTATTTTTATGTGGTGCTGAAGATTGAACCCAGTGCCTCATACGTGCTAAGTGAGCACTCTACCACTGAGCCACAACCCCAGCCCCGCCACTGTATCTCTTAAGATCTACAGTCCACCACTTAAAATCTGTGTTATTAATCATCACTGTAGAAAAGTTCACCCCCAGGCACTCCTGATTCTTTCATTCTGAATGCTCCTAACAGAAGGCCGCTGCCCGTGGAAATGGTGCAATGAAGAAAAGAGTGAGAACCACTGATTCAAATTACCTGATGGGAAGCCAGGCCTTAAGTTTTACAAATTGCTTAAAAACAAAAGTATCTTTAAAAACTGCCCATAATTATGTTAGCTCTTTTATGTTCTAGTCATTAGAAGTGTTTGGATAATAGTTTTTAAATCACAAGTACGTGCAGTATATTGTCTCACGAGATATCTGAAATGGCCTTGCCATTAAGATGGTGGACTATGGCTACCAAACAGGAAAAACCGTCCTGCAGTGAATGCCAAACAGCAAGCATGAGGGTGGCCATGGCGAGTGAGGCACTAGGGAGTCGCCACAGGGCACAGAAGGACATGGTTTTGGGTGTTTTATCAAGGTGTTAGTCACGTGTACAAACTAGAAAGGAAGGAGAAGGAGAGTGAGCAAGGAGAGCTGTCGGGTGCTGGTGTGAGTGCAGAAGCAGGCCGAGGACAGGGCGGAAAGAAGGGGAGGATATGGAAGGCACCAGAGAGAGCAGGAGCTAAGCCAGGCGGTTCTCATTCACATACCTGGTTTTATTTTCATCACCACAGGCTTTCGGTTTTTATCCCGCATCTGTCTGATGTCCAGCAGATCACGAGGATTGCCGTTGTGCCGTGGCCAGCAATATACAAATATCCGAGACCCGCTGCTACCACAGTCCACCACGATTCCATAGTTTACATTGGGATTACTGGTGTCTGTAGCTTCAATGTCTGTAACTCGTGCCAAGTACCTTATGAGGAAGATGCACATGCTCTTAGACAGAATGTCATCCTACACCTACGTGACAGAGAAAATGTAGCACCCAAGCACCACGCCTGATTTCTAAGCTATGCAGTTTCCTGTGGCATTCTCAGCATGGACAGCTGATGAGCCAAAAGAAGACAAAACAAGTGGTTCTGAAAAATATCTATACCAGGGCTGTGCTCTTTATTCCTCTACAGAAGCTCACACAGGTTCCAAAAAGCAAATCATTCCCAACCTACAAATGCTAATTCAGAAATCGGCTTAAGACATCATAGAGAAGAAGCTTTTGTTTAAGTAACTACTCCTCTTATAATATCAGTTGGGTGGTCAGTGGGCAGCCCCTCTCAAACATTTCAATTTTTCATGCCATGTGGCAGTCAGTACAGAATCCAGGTCCTATAGCCACATTTCCCTTACATTTCAACCTAACTCAAATGCCTTGAAGCCTTAAAATGGCATGTTACAGTTAGAATGCTTGTGTCTTCCCCCAAATTCATTTGTTGAAAACTAATCACCAATGTGATACTACCCTCTGAGAGGTGATGAAATCATAAAGAAGGAGACCCCAGAGAATGCACTCTACTTTCATCTTGCAGGGACAAAGCAAGAAGGTGCCATCTATGAACTGGGAATCAGGCCCTCAACATCAAGGCTGCTGGCACCTTATCTTGTACATCTTATCCTCTAGAACTATGAAAAATAAATTTCTGTTGTTTATGAGGTCTACAGTATTCTGTTGTAGTAGCCTGAACAAGATCAGCCAGAAGGTATGGCATCCCTTCTAGAAAACAGATGTTTTCATCTCTTACCTTTGAAGTTTCTTGTCTCTGGATAGCCGCCCATACTTATTTCGGATTATGATGACAGAAAAATATAAAAGTGAGACAGAAGCAGCCAGGATGCTAAGGACAATAATTTGGCGTAAATTGGTATTCAGAATTCGAGGACAACCTACTGGAGAGATGCTAAAATGCCAAGAAGCAGGAAAAAGGCAGGAGATGCCGATCCTGAAATTCCAAAAAACAGATTTTAAAGCAATATGCTTCAAAGAGGCCTCCCCTCCCGGAACTGATCCTATGGGTAGATGTCCAGCTGGAGCTCCTCCTACTTGCCAGCCTGTTGGTGTCTGTATACCAGCACGTTCCATGTTGCTGTCTTACTACAGACATGTTATTAGAAAATGATATGCGTGAGAATTAGGCCCAGATGGTAAACAACACTGGGTGTACTGTCCCCCTCTTCTTGAGAGCATTGTGTAGATTTTAATTCTACCCTGCTCTGTTCCCCCCAAAAAACAAACTTAAGTGTTCAATCAGATATATATATAAATTGATAATAAAGTCAGTTTAAAAATTATGAAGCCAAAGGAAAATGAGGAAATTGAAATGCCTGTTGTGAGCATGCTGTCAGCTAAGCCTGAAAATGTGAGCAGCCCAATCCAGGAGACTCTCCATGATGTGTAAGTAGCTGAGGGAAGTAAGATTTCCCTCACAGTGAATTCCAAGGCAAATTTCTCCCAGAGGCCTAATGGACAAACAGATTCTTTAACACCTCCTCATAACAAAGTCAATAAAGGTGTTATGACCTGTTTTTAGAAAGATTCCTTTGAAACATTTTAGTAAATAGGAAACATTTTAGTTTATGTGAGGAAGGAGAGACTCATTCTAGAACTACTATTAGGCTTTTTGTAAAAACTCTCAATACCTGTAGGATAAATTTTATTAGTTTATATTTAATTTCTACACTGTTCACTTTGAGAGTACTTATGGATTCAACTTCCTCACTGAGGGGGAGGCAACATGCCAACTCAATGCCCTTTCCATTTGTAGTTTCTTGACTCCACAGGGATCCGGCCACTCCATGGCATCTACCTTCCTACAGTATCACTTTCCTTCACCTACTGGGCCCTGAAAGAATAAAGGTGTCAAACTCTAAACATGTTTCTCTTGGGATTTATATTTCTTTCTCTCTCTTGTTTTTTTCCTTTTTTTAAAAAAAATAATTAATTTATTTATTTTTCCTAATGGTAGTTGGACACAATATCTTTATTTATTTTTATGCGGTGCTGAGGATGGAACCCAGGGTCTCTCTCGCACGTGCTAGGCGAGCGCTCTACCACTGAGCCACAGCCTCAGCCCCCTTTTTTTAAATAGTTTTTTTTTAATTGTGGATGGACACAATACTTTTTTTTATTATTTATTTTTATGTGGTGCTGAGGACCAAACCCAGTGGCTCACACATGCTAGGCAAGTGCTCTACCACTGAGCTACAGCCCCAAACCTCTCCCTCTTGGTTTTTTGGCACCCAAATCTCAGTTTCAAGACGGCCATTAGCCCATCACTCACCTCCCCATGCCGAAAGGCCAGCTCTGAGGCAACGCTGTGGGAGTTGGTGCTGCTCACACAGACAGTGCTGAGGTCCTCATCTAGTTAGCGCCCTTCTGTTTCAGAAATGAGAAAAAGACAGTGCCATCAAAGGAAACGTCTATGCTGTCAAGGGCACACTTCAGTCCAGCCACACAGATTCTGATATGTGATCCTTGTGCTGAAAGGGTTGCAAGTATTTATTTTGAGCAACATACTTCTAATTTCATGCTGTCAGGGATGCAGGACTTAATCAAGAGATGATTATAGTCTGGCACTTGGTAGTACTAAGGATCTCTGGAACCCCCCAAATATTGGGTTATCAAATAGGTCTTAAATGTCTTGTTGTGCTGAATGTCAGGGAGAATCTGAGGAGGTAGGAGGTATGCAGAATGATTAAGTAAATGGGAATTGGAAATAGCCATTCATTTGATAGATATCTATTACACTTCCCTTTTATACAAAGTGCCACATAGATGCTCTTCCCAAGTTGGTCCTCTGACCCTTTCACCATTTTTGCTCCTCCTCCAGCTCCCACACCACACAGCACAGAGAAGCCAGAGGCATCTAGCCAGGGCCTCCTATCAGGCTGCTGAAGCTAGGGGATATTTCCAAGTCTTTCCGTGGCACTGGTTTTCCCCTTCTGGCCTCCTAAGACTTCAGTCTTCTCTAGTCGGCTTTGAAGCTCCTGAATACTCCTTCCGGAGGGAGCTCTGCCACTCCTATTTGCTTTGGCACGCCCTAGGTTCTACCCACTCCCTTCTAACTTAATCACTGTTCCTGATCAGCCTCAATGTGGCTGCATTCACCTGATTACGTAAAGCTTCCTCCACCGGCTCTTCTGAGCTGCGATATAGATCTTCAGCACCAAGACTTCACCATCTGAATGTGGCACAGACCATGAAGCATTTCTGTAACTGAACTTCTAAACTGCCATCCCCATCCTCTCTCCTCTCTACCTGCTCCTCCCCTGCACAGCTGATCTCAACTACCCCAACCTGCTCAAATCAGGAAACAGAGTTGTGACCCCACCTCCACTTCATCTTCCAGACCCAATTTCTTATAGATTCCTTCCATTTTTTTAACTTTAGCCTTTCTAAAACCCGTTCCTTTTCTTTGTCACCTTCAACAAAGATAGGTTCTTGTTTCATGTGCTGTCTCACCCAGAGACTTGCCAATGTTTCCCCCCCCACCCACAGATTCTTCCTCTGCAGCTGATAACCCACTCACTGCTCCACTCAGGACCCTGATCATATTATTCCTGTACTCAAAATCCTCTAGTGGCTCCCACCCTCTTAAAGTCAAAGGCTTTACTCTGACCACCAAAGTCCTCCAGGCTCTGGCCCCTGCTCTACTGGCCCCTTTTCACTGCATTCCAGCCACACTGTGTCCCTGATGGGCTTCAAAATGTCAGGTACTCTCTGCTCTCTGACCTTGCTGCTCCCTCTTCTTGGAATTTTATGGCTCTATGGCTCACTTTCTAACCCCCTTCAGGTCTCTACTCAAATGTCATCTTCTCAGGAAGCAATAATGACAAACATCCCCCTCCACCCAGCTCCCTTCCATGATTTGTCTCCTTAACATTTACTTCATTAAGTATCTACATAAGTGCTTATTAGTGCCAGTCCCTGCTCCAAATGTTTTGCAAATATTGAGTCCTCCTAACAGCATAGTAGGTAGGTACCCTAATCGTGAAGTTTTAAAGACAAGGAAGAAAGGCTCAGTACCTTGCCTAAGGTCAGTGAGTAAAATGTGGAGCTGGGATTCAAGTGTGAAGCCCATACTCTTCTCTGTGTGTGTGCTTTCTCCTATTCGCATGTCTGCCCCTCCAAAATGAGTGCTCTTTGGGGTAGGGGGTTGGGACAGATTTAGGCTTGCTTAGTGGCCATGTTGCCACCATCACAGATTCTGGGAAAGGGCTGGCAAGATGCCAAGTTTTAGAGTTCTGGGACTCAACACGGTCAAAAACTTCTACACCAGCATGATCTTTCCAAACTTGACAGCTATTAGAGAAACTCCCCACTCCAATTCTTCTCTTTCACTGGGGGAAAAAGGTCCTAACTCCTTAGAATGTAAAAAATGCTCCTCAAGACCTAGTCCTGAGAGGCTCAATATGGCAGCCGCCTGTCATTTGTGGCTATTTAAAGTAACTAAAATAAAATAAAAAATTAAGTTCCTTGCTTGCAATAGCTTCATTTCAAGAACTCAACTGTCACATGCAAAATCTGCATTAGCCAATGCAGATGTTGAACTCTGACAAAATCATAGAAAGTAGTCCGTACAGCACTGAGCAAGTCCAGTCTCTCCTAGTCACAAGGTCTCAAACCATCAATGAAGAAGAATGTCTACAATAAGACTTTTGGACTTCTGTATGTTTTAAGAAAAATCCCTTCCAATACACATGGCTTGGGAAAATACTGTAACACTCATAACAAAAATGAAATATGCTTCACTTATAAAACATTCTTATAAAGTAATAAGAGAAACAATGGAACAGAAAAATGGGTAATTGGATATTAACATGATAAGAAATACAAATGGTTAAAAAAATCTAACTTCATCAGCATTCAGGAAACAGACTTGACAGCTATCAGATTGGCAGAGATTTAAGTCTGATCAGACTTTGGTATGAAGGTGATGTGGACATCAAGTACTGATGGTGAGACTCTAAATAGGTACTAACATTCTGGGGGCATTTGAGTAACTTAAGTGAATGTTTCAAAGTGCTCACCCTCAGGCTGGGATTGTGGTTCAGTGGTAGAGCACTTGCCTAATATGTGTGAGGCCCTGGGTTCAATCCTCAGCACCACATAAAGATAAAGAAATAAAATAAAAGTATTGTGTCCATCTGTAATTACAAAAAAAAAAAATTTTTAAGTGCTTACCCTCTGCTCTACCTCCCATCCTTCCAGAATTTCTAGGAAAATTATAGGGTTAGCTAATTAAAATATGTACAGGATGTTCATCATAGTAGTAATGTATAAGAGCAAATCACCATTACTAATGTCCATTATTGAGGTTGGTAAAATTAAACACGGCATATTTATGCAATTGAGTACAAGGTGATAATTCAAGGTGATGATCTAGCTTTATATGTATTGAAACAGGAAGATGCCACCATACATTAAATGAAAACATTCCATCATGCATAGAGGGAAAAACAGAAGGAAATATATAAAAATGTTAATAGTGTTTGCTTATTTCTGAACAGTGAGATCATGTGTCATTATTTTCTATTATTTGTCTATGTTTTTCAAAGGACGTATATTAATTTTATCATCAGAACAAATAACATAACTAACTTCTAACAAGCTACCTTTGACTGATGATATTGCCAGTTTCCAGCATCAAATCCCCTTTGGCTATATGCAGAAAGCCTATTTTAAAAACTCAAGACAGAGTAATTCCAATGTGAACAGTTTAAAGAATCAATGATAGAATGTGACAGCTGAACTAAGAACAAGAGAAAATAAAATTTTAGTAACACACTATTAAAGGCAAATGGGTCCTAAGGGAAGAAAGGCCTTTAATGAGTCAATGATCAGGACTAAAAAGGTGATAGGAGAACAAACTAACTCCAGGAGCAATGAACCCAGCTCCAAGTTTCAGGAAGTTTGCAGATCGGTACAGAAATACTAATACTCAGGAAATTATCAAGAGAACTTGCAGTGGGAGCTCAGAGAAGAGCAAAGGAAGGATACTGCCAACAGAAAGGACTCCTAGAGGTAGAAGACAGCCTTTGGTTGGGGTGAGAATGGAGAATATCCTTCAAAGATGCACCCTAAAAATGATGAAAGTTATCTGTCTTAGAACTTTTTTTTTTTTTTTTTAGGATATGTGAGGGTTTTGACAAGAATACATGATATTATTTTAAGTTTAGAAATGTGTGTTTAAAGACAGAGAAAAAGGACAGTTCATAATTTGCTGAAGTGATTACTCTTAGTTAGGACAAAAGTATGGCTGATTATTGGCTAGCAGCCAAAAACATTAATTTGATATTAAAATGTAAACTCCAATAATCCTTTCAGTTAAGAATCTTGGCACCAGAGCTTAAGAAGGCAAATTCTCAGTAATACTGCAATGTTTTTAAAAGGCCTAACATGCATTAGATCATCATCAGAGAGACACTCAAAGCCTGGTTATTTCAGTTGGTGGGTCCTCCTTAGCTCATCATCCTTTAGCAGTGTGAAGCTCATTTGGTCATGGGTCAATGTCTCTGTCAGTCTCTCTGTGACAGTCAAGACCAACAACACAAATCAACTGCAAAGTCTTCTCTGGTGATAGATGCAGGATGCAGTGAAACAGGAACTATGGAACTCCTGAATCCAATGCAAACAAAGTCACCAACAGGTAACAACTAGGAGAGGCAGGCCTTCCTGAATTAGAAAAGGCAGATGACAGGTTTCAAAAAAAGAATCATTTGAATATCAAAGGATCCCAGGAGGACCTTGAATAATTGCAAATATTTGAACAAAGTTTCTAAAAAACAGCTGTCTTTTTTTTTTTTTTTTAAGCTGCAAAAAAGTGAAGGTGCCAGTTGGCACTGTGATTTCACTAGGGTAAAAGATACACCTAAACAACTCTGATCATTCTGTTTTAAGAAAGCATGGTGGTGCCTTTATGATGTGTATTTTGTTCAACTGCATCGGCTCTGTAGTCTCTCAAATATGATTTTTCCTTAAGGTCCATATTCCAAACTTATTGAAGCCCTGGCACCATAAATTCAATTAGTCCAGGTCTGTGGTCACAATTTTTTGATGCAAACAATACCACCTTCCAAATTATCCAGGTGTAATAGAGATAACGCCACTGCCAGGGTTACCTGGCTCTCAGCTTTAATTTTCTTCTATTGTGCCAACATTCTATTCATCGAGTCCTGACAGTTCTTCCTCAGACATCCCACACATCAGGGATGACAGAGCAGACATGACTACCTAAAGACTATCTTGAAGGGTCACTTCTGCTTTCATTGTGAACATCACTTTGTGTAAACACCTCTTTATAAAACACTGCTTTCAAAATATGGCAGTCTAAGAACTTTCTGGAATCCTGTGGATCAACATAAACTTCTCTGTGGGGAACCCAGGTCCCTCTATCCATCAACTGTTCCCATCTTATCTCACCAACCTGTTCTGTCCTCAGTCCAGATAACATCTCTATGCTCTGATGAGGTGGTCTCTCCCACACAAGCTGTTCTCATGCCTCCTCTGGCCTTTAACAATGCCACTTCCTCTAACATTCTGCTCTCAATATTACATTTTTTTTCAAGGCCCAATGAGCAGTAATTTTCTTTGTCAAGATTTCTTTTATTTCTAATGTTTTACCAACTCTGAGTCTTCTCTTTCTTCATGTATAGTCTATTTCAAATAAGCATCCTCAATAAATATGTACAGAATATAAATTCTTAAGTTAACTCTCATTTTTGTCTCTTCTTCCTAGGCTATATTCTCAAAGGGTAGACATCATACATTTCCTGTTAGGGTCAGAAGAATGTAAGTCATTGATTCAATATGTAACAAATACAGGTGACAAATAAACGTCAAGGTAGAGCAATACACTACTTATACAAATTAGTGCTACTTTTTATAATTCTGTAAAAGTGTCAAACAGAATTAAACCGAATACAAACAGAAACATGGAATATCAAAAAACAGAGAGAACAATCTTTTTAGGCTTTCTCCAAGGTTAGACAATTAGGTATTTTCATCTTATAAAGCAGAACATAAAACTGCGATGTAAACTTAAGCTGGGATTTGAGTCTCTTAATTCAGGATTCTTCAGTAACCTCTAGTTTACCTCCAGCATGCAAAATTCCTGAATTTATAATCCATCTCTTTCATTTCCTGGCGATAAACATTCTCTGAAAATGCTCTGCACCTGTGTTCATCTCACTGCGATCTGAGGACCCCTTCATGTCTTGGGGCATACTCTAGAGAACGTGACAACGGTCCCTTTAGAAGGTGTCCACGCATTATTTGAGAAGCACTGCTGTGCATCATTACTTTATCACCCAATTAGCTCCATTATGCCAAGGAGAGATCTAACATGAAACTTACTAAAAGTAGAGAAGGGCAAAAATGATGGTGTACATGTAAATGTCATGATTTTGTGCCTTCTGCCTGGGCAGGTTCTGCTCACACTACCAGCCAGGGAGGGAAAACCCTGCGTGATCGCCGTGGAGGCGCGACACGAATACGGGTTCGTGCCACCGGGGCTGGGGGCGAGCACTTGCCACTCGGGGTCGCAGCGCTGCCAGGGAGAACCCGGATGTGGCCTCGTGACCCGGGCAGGAGGAGTGGGGGCCGCGCGCGGGGAGGGCTCCGGAGAGAGTCCTCCGGAGTCCCGGGACGCGGGCGGCTCTGGGCCCGCTCGCCGCCCCCAGCGCTCCAACCGTCCTCGCCTACACCCGTGGCTTCGGCCGCTCGCCCTCCCCTCGTCCGTGCCGGGAAGACGGCCTCACCTGCTCGGCAGGCCGGGGTTCCCGGGACCGGGGTCCGCGAGCGAGCAGCATCACGGCCGGCGGGCGAGGCGGCAGCACAGATCCGCTTCCTGGAGGCTCCGCTCCGTTCCCGGAGCCTCGCAGCGCGCGGCCCCGCCCCCACTCACGTCGGCGTCTCGTACGGCAGCGTCGGGAGCGTGCGCGCCGGGAGCGGGGCGGAGCCCAGTCGTGGGCACTGAATCCTGGTCTACGCAGAGGGGTTCGCTGCGCTGCCTTACGCGTCTCCGAGGTTAATGCTCAAACCCGGGGCGCCGAGGCGGAGGCGCCCGAGGTTCCCGCCGCCTCTGGACAGTGTGGTTGTCAGCGAGCCGCGCTGTGCTGATGAGACCGCAGTTTATCTTTTCTTGGTGCTCTAAAGATTGTGGAAAATAACACTGGAAAACCTAAGAACTAGGCATTGGGCTGGGGAGGTAGCGCGGTGGCAGAGCGCTTGCCTAGCAAGTGTGAGGCCCTGGGTTCAGTCCACCGCACCAGCCCCGCAAGGAAAACAGGAGCTAAGCATTGCTGCTCGGTTCTGTACAGTGTTTCAGGTTTGTGAGTTTCACAGATAGGAAATAAAAGCCTATACTTTTGTAATTCTCTTGAGGACGCCAATTTGCATCTGTTAAGAGCCTATTCTAAGGGAGACGGTCTGTCCCGTTCCCACTCCCACACCCCAATATATGCAGTAGTTATAAGAAGAAATAATAAGATGGAAGAGCACAGTTAGTTCAAGGTCCCTAAGTAGCTCAGTGATAAACTGCCTTGAAGTCACAGAGCTTTGTACTTGACAATAGGAAGAGACCTTGACAGTCAAGAGTTAGAGATAAGAAGTGACTGGCCACTTGAAGTTTTTTAAAGGTAAAGCCCAAGGAACATCTATGCTATGGTTTAGATATGAAGTGACCCCCCAAAACTCGTGTGAGACAATGCAAGAAAGATTGGAGGTTGTTGATTAGGTTATGAACGCTTCAGCTTAGCCCCTGCATTAATCCATGGGGCTTAACTGGGTGGGAATTGTAAACAGGTAAGGTATGGCTGGAGGAGGGTCATTGGGCATGCCTTTGGGGTATGTGTTTTATCCCTGGTGAGTGGAACATTCTTTCTGCTTCCTTGCAGCCTTGAGTTGCTTTCCTTCTCATCTTCTTTTTGTCTTGATGTTCTGCCACACCTTGGGCATAGAGCAATGGCGTTGGCTGTCTATGGACAGAGAGCTCTGAAACTGTGAGCCCCAAATAAATTTTTCTTCCTCTAATTGTTCTTTCCAGGTCTTTTGGTCACAGCAGCAAGAAAAAAAAAAAGTTGACTGAAACAATCTACTGCATTCCGTTTATCAAGTAAAACATACTTGGACAGGACTGGTAATTTAAGGTGGACTCTTTGGTCAAGCACCTGGTGTCACCTGCTCCTCCTAGTAATATTGCACCTCTCAATAGAGCTTCTGGCCATGCAGGTAGGCTAGCAGTGACGGGAGCCTTGTGTTTTAGAATTAAATAACAGTTGTCCCTGGATATCAATGAGGGATCGGTTCCAAGCCTTCCTCAGTTTATCAAAATTCATGAGATGCCCAACTCCTAATATAAAATAGTCTAATTTTTTAATATTTATTTTTTAGTTGTAGTTGGAAAGAATACCTTTTATTTTATTTATTTATTTTCATGTGGTGCTGAGGATGGAACCCAGGGCCTTGCACATGCAGGTTGCAAGAGCTCTACCACTGAGCCACAACCCCAGCCCTAAAATAGTGTAATGTTTATTTGCATATAATCTACACATATCCCCCTTTGAAATCATCTTGATTATTTATAAAACCTAATAGAATGTAAATGCTGTGTAAGTAGTTGTTATACTTTATAATGTAGGGAATTTTGTTATACTTATAATGTAGGGAATAACGACAGTCTCTATATGTTCAGTACAGATACCATTTTTTTAATATTTATTTTTTAGTTGTAGTCGGACACAATACCTTTCTTTTTATTTATTTATATGTGGTGCTGAGGATCGAACCCAGGGCCTCACACTTGCTAGGCCAGCACTCTACCACTGAGCCACAACCCCAGCCCAGATACCATTTTTTAAATATATTTTCTCTCTGGGGTTGGTTGAATCCAGAGGTGTGGAACCCAGGGATATGAAGGGCTAAATGTACTGACTTTCAAAATATTGATCCACATTAGAATCTTGAAGCCACAGAAGGTTAGAACCAAAAGGGAACTATTTAGTCTCAGCTCTTCCTTTTACAATAAAGGAACCTAGAACTTAGAGAAATTGGAATGACAATACAAGGTCTCTGGGAGGCAGAAGAATAACAGGTTCAATGTTTCTGATTCCAGCTTCAGTGCTTTTCTTTTTCTCTCTTTTTTTCTTCTTCTTCTTCTTCTTCTTCTTCTTCTTCTTCTTCTTCTTCTTCTTCTTCTTCTTCTTCTTCTTCTTCTTCTTCTTCTTCTTTTGGCAATCTGTTGGTATTTAAAACAACAACAACAACAACAACATTAGTTACAATAGAAAACATTCTGTGACATAACCCAGGTCGAGGACTGAGAAGCTGGAGTAAGGCCACTGGTGTTTATTATTGTACCATGTGTGTTTCCTGGTAGTTCATATGTAATAGTTATCTGCTGGGTTTCTGTTCACGACTAAAAGGCTCAGGGGTCACTCCAGGTAAACTGGGCTGTCCGGGCTGCACAAAATAACCACACACGAGACACAAATACCTTTTTCTTTGGGGTTGCTGTGATGGTTCCTCTGACCTTAAAGGTCTGTAGGAAGAGAGAGAGAGAGCGTGCGCGCGCGCGCACACACACACACACACACACACACACACACATGTACTGACCCCTTTTATTGAGGAGAAGCTATTCAAATGAGGCAAGGGGTCAGGTTTCAGGGGGCTGAGTCTATCTTCATGATGTCCACTGTCAGCAGATAGGCCACACCTAAGGGCACAGTAAGAGAAGAGGACACACACAAGGCACTTCCATGGAACATTCCATCTTAAACAGGGCAAGGGGTTATATTACAAAGGAACAGGTGAGCGTAGCTTCACCCATGGGGCTGTAGCAAGACACGCCTGGGCAGGAAGACACAGTCACTGGAACCCTAAAAGAGCGGGGCAGTCTAGCAGCATGGGTGCCTGACGCCACATCGCCAAGCAGGGGAGTTAACTCAGTCACGTGCAAGGTTGGTCTCCCACAATTATCTGTCAAAAACTAAAATATATAGGAAAAGATGAAAACATTTAACATGGTGTATTAATTTCCTAGAGCTGCCATAACTAATTACCCTAAACTGGGTAGCTTAAAGCAACAGAAATGTGTTGTCTTCCAGCTAGAGAAACTGGAAGTCTGAAACCAAGGTGTCACAGGGTTGTGCTCTCTCTAAAGACTCCAGGAGAAGATCCTTTGCCTCTTTGTAGCTTCTGGGGGTTGCCTTTCCTGGCCTTCCTCAGGTTTGTAGATATGTCACTTCAATTTCAGCTTCTGTTGCCACATGTTGTCATTCCTGTGTGTCTATGTTCAAATTGCTGTCTTCCTATAAAAACACAAGTCAAATTGGATTTAGGCCTCACTCCAATCCAGTACAACCTCATCTTGCCTTGAGTACATCTGCAGAGACCCTGTTTTCAAGCAATGTTCACTCCCAGGTTCTGAATGGACATGACCTTTGAGGGAACACTATTTAGCCTAGTACCTGGTCTGGGGTGTCAGGGAAGTCTTCTTTGAGAAAGTGATCTTTGTGGTCACACCTTTAAGATGAATGGGAATTTACTGTAACAAGGATGAAGTCTGGCTATAAGAAGAAGTGGCCTTGCAAGCAATGGAAATAGCAAAAAGGCTCTCAAGAGACTTATTCTCACTCATGAATAAGAGAAATGAAACCCCAAGATAACAAGAAGTAACACTGAGTACTTTCCTTTGGCCAAGCACAGTTCTAAGAGCATTAGAAAACATTTTAAACAGAATGATAATGAAAATACAGTGCATCACAAATTTGTGCTAAATTTTGCTAAAGAAGTATTTATCAAGAAATTCATAGCTTTAAAAGCTTAATTCAGTAAAGGAAAAAACATTTGAAATCAATTACTTAAGTTTCCATGTTAAGAAGTTATAATAAGACAAGCAAGAAGATCAAACTGAATAGAGAGAAGAAAACAAAAAATGTTAGATGACATTAGCAAAACCACAAGTGGTTTCTTTGAAAATATTAATCAAATTGATTAACTCCTAGTAAGACTGATAATGGAAAAAGAAAGTAAACAGCTAATACCACGCACCAAAGAGGAATATAGCCACATGTGTATAGAAATTGAAACAATAATAAGAAAACATTATGAAAAAATTATTCTAATCTCAATAATTTAGAAGAAATGGAAAAAAATCCTGATAAATACAACTCCCCAAAACTGGCACAAGAAGAAATAGATCATCTGAATATTAGATCATCTCTAATTATTAAAGATGTTGAACACTTTTTCATACATTTGTTGATCGCTTGTGAGAATATTATGCTAAGGGAAATAAGCCAATTCCATATATCTTTAAGGTCCACAAAAGCAAATTCCAGAATCAAATGATTTCATTAGTAAATTGTATCAATAATTTAAAGAAAAAATAATACTGATCTAAGAGAATACTTTTGAAGAAACAGAAGAGGAGGGAGCACTTTTTAACTCATAATAGAATGTCAGAATAAGCCTAGAACCAAGAAATTAAAAGGAAAGAAAATCATACAGCAGTATCCCTTCTGAACACAGATGCAAAAATTCTACCAAAATATTGACAAACCAAAACCAGCAATATCTGAAGAGGAGAACAATAGCACAGCCAAGCAGGATTTTTTCAAAGAATGAAAGATTGGTTCAACCTTTGAGAACCAATCAATCAATTGATATAGTTTACTACAAATACAAAAAGGGAACATTTATATATTTTGTATGATCTCAGTTGACATAAAAAAACTGACAAAAATCAACACTTATACATGATTTAAAAAATATTTTTGCCAACAAAATGAAATAAATAAAAGGAATGATCTTCCTTGGTTTGGGAGGGTATCTATAAA